GGAAATGTTGAGGTCAGCCTTGAGTGCACTGAGCTTGGACAAATCTCTCAAGACCCAGTAGACTCTGAAACTTGAAGGAGATGACCTCAAAGCTTCCTTCCAGCTCTGTCACTAAAGCCACAGATTTACAGAGTAAGTATTAGCAAATATTATTAAAGAAAAAAAATCGCTTCCTGAAATTTAAAACAAAATTAAAAGTTTATGTTAAAATAAAGTGTTCATTGAAAGGATACACTTTGTGAACAATGTTTAGGAAATGTTTGCTTAGAATGGCCTTTTGTGTGGGCATAGATGATATGAATATCTAACAAACTGAATAAAAGGCCTAAAAATTTTGTACTGTGAAAGTATACTATTCTATCTTAATATTGTCATGCTGATTACACCTTCCTGTTCAGAAAATATGGAGCTCTGGTGGTTTAGAGGGAAGGAATTGTGCTTCCAACACAAAGGTATGTGGTTTAATCCAACAGCTACTTCATACTTTTTGTCTAAGACAATTACTTTGGTATAGTTTCTAGATGTGCTTTAGAAATTTTAGTTGCAAACAATGAATGGTTACTTTTTCCTTATACAGTTGTTCTCTCACTGGTAATCTTTTATTAAGAAACCCTAGTTAAAAAAAATAAGGAATAAGAATGAAAAAAAAAAAGCAAATAGAAAACTAGAACTAAAAATGCAAATAAAGCCATTACCCTAGGGTCTGTCATCTGAAAAAAAAAAAAGAAAGAAAAGAAACCCTAGTTAATCCCTTGCGACTTCAGTGAGCTCCAATGCCACAAGCATCCGATTAAAATGTCGTGTGATGTTAATTATCTCCAAGGCATTTTAAGGGGACACTGATTTGAGTTCACCAAGATAGCAAAAGGGGGCAAAATATCCAAGTATAAGTGATCCCAAAGAGTTGAAACTAACATTCAAAGGTCAACTCTATACGCTTCTACCATCTACATAGCTACCCCAGCTAGACTCCTGCCTGGGCTCTGCTGCTCCAGCTGAAGCAATAGGTAACACACTTTTATTTTTTTTCCTTTGTTAAAATTGTTTAACTGAAAATTTACAAAGCACATTTTTTTCCATTCAGTCACTCATGTGCATTTTGTTTTGTAGCTTTAATTATAATAATCCCCAATATAAGCACATGTTTTCTACTTCCTCCCTCTCATTCTCATTTGCACTGTCCTTCCTGCCTTCTGGGATCTATCCTTGGGTAAATGTTGATCTTTCAATTTTGTATGCTCAGCTATTCTAAGGAGTGAGTTGCCTTCCTGGTGTGTTACTGGTCACCTTATAGGCTTCTCCTTCATGGACTAAAAGTTGAGCTATGGAAGTAAAATTTTATTTCACATTTGAAGGCTGAATAATAGTCATAGTCTTGGGGGTTCCACCAGTCCTAATGAAACTAGTAAGTCTGGCTTTTTTTTTATGTTTTTAAGTTTTATCCCACACTTTCCTCCACCCTTGTCCCCTATCCAGGTAATTCTCTTGTGCTCCTTTTGAGGTTGATTAGCTGTGGAAGCTGGGCATCATCAAGATCTTCAGGTTGCAGGATTTTAGCGGTTAAGGTCTGTATGGTTCATTAGTCCTTTCAACTAATTGTTCAGGACATCTTTGCTTTTCTTTCATCTTCTTGGTTCCAGACAGAGAGAGATCTTATATGGTTGCCCACAGCTTTGAAGAGCCCAGTCAATATTCATCAAACCAATTTGATTTATAGGCAGGCCTTCCCTCTAATTCAAGGTGAAATTCTGGGCTCTGAATTAAACTGCAAACCCTGCTGGTGCTGCTCCATGTATTTGTCACTTGCTGGCATAATTTAGCTCTTTTGAAGATGTAGAGACTTGGAAATCTTTTAGCTGCCCCTGGACTTAAAATCCCTCACCCTTCACATTATACTTTATATTGCTGCTTCCTAAAGGTCACGAATTACCTCGTTCCTAATCTTAAAGGCCAAGAAAATCATGAATCGTAACACTGGATGATTCATCTAGGTTGTACTATTCTTATGCTTCAATACCATATTCACAACACTACCTACCTTTATACTTATCATTTAATCATCTATCCTTCTATTAAGATGTACCGTATCAGGACAATTATACTATTAGCCTTCAGATGTAAACTACTGTTACAAATGGAACTGTGTCCCCCGCTAATATGTGCTATAAATCCAGTCCTTAAAAAGGACACCATGCTTGGAAAGATGGAGGATCAGCAAAAGAAAGAAAGACCTTCAATGAGATAAATTGACACCATGACTGTAGCGATGGGCTCAAACGTGTTAGAGATAATAAGGACGGCACAGGAAAGGGCAAGAGTAAGCTCCATTGATCGTAAGTTCATTATAAATTATAATTATACAATATAATCAATGGCACCTAACAACAACGTGCCTTTAGGAGTTTTAGGAGTTTTCTTTGTTATTTTAGTGAGTTCATGATTATGTAAAATCTTTTAACCCAATTACTTTGAGTTATGCAAGATTAGATTAGACACAGAAGAAGGCAGATTCAGGGAAGATTGACACAATTTTAAGACCATAGTGGCAGATCAATCTACAAGCCCAAGAACTGCTTTGATGGCCAACTAGGAAAGCTGACACAAGAACATTTTTCCAAAGCCAATAGAGAGGAGGCTTTAGAGTCAGTATCCTCAAATCTAATTTACAGCCTCTTACACAGTGGGAAGACCAGATGAGTTGTGGGACGATACCAAGAATATCATCTATGAAAAAAGCAAAATGTCTTTACAAAAACAGAGGAGGAAGAAAAAAACAGAATAGATGTCAGAAGAGACTCTAAAACTTACACTAGACCATCAAGAAGCCAAAACAAAGGGGAAACATGCCAACGTAAAAGTGCTGAATGTAAGATTTCAAAAGGCAACTTGAGAGGACAAAAAAAAGTATTATAGTGAAAAGTGAGAAAACTGGAATAGGAGAGTTAAAGGGGAAAACTCGCTCTGCATTTCTCAAGCTGAGAGAAAAGAAAAACAAATTTAAACCTTCAGTTACAAGATTGAAAGATTATATGGGCAATATATTGAATTACCCAGAAAGCATCGAAAGAAGAGGAGGGAATACACAAAACACTGTACCAGAAAGAAATGACTGACACTGAAAAATTTAATGAAGTGCCATATGAACAGAGCCACTGGTAATGAAGGAGGAAGTGCATTGAAGGAATTGACAAAAAATAAGGCCCTAGGAATCAATGGGATACCAATTGACTTGTTTCAATTAACAGATGCAGCCTTGGATGTGCTCACCGGTCTATGGCAGGAAATTTGGAGGCTAGCTGTCTGGCCAATGGTTTGAAAGATGTCCATATATATTCCCCATCTCAAGAAAGGTGATCCAAATGAATGTGAAACTACAGAATATTATCGTTAATACTACATACATTAAAAAAAAGAAAAAAATTTAAAAAATGCTACATACATGCAAAATACTGCTGAAAATCATTCAAAATGGCTAGAACAGTACATAGATAGGTAACTGCCAGAAGTTCAAGCAGGATTTAGAAGAGGCCATGGCACCAGGGATATCATTGTTGCTATCAGATGGATCCTGGCTGAAAGTAAGCAATACCAGAAGAATGTCTATTTGTGCTTTATTGACTATCCAAAGGCATTTGTCTGTGTGGTTCATAACAAATTTGTGGCTGACATTGAGAAGAATGGGAGTTACAGAGCAGCTCATGTGGAACCTATACCTGGATCAGGAGGCTGTTGTATGAACAGAGCAGGAGAATACTACATGCTTTAAAATTGAGAAGGGATTGTGTCAGGGTTGCATGATCTCTCCATACCTGTTCAATCTGTATGCTGAACGAATTATTCAAGACAATGGGCTCTATGAAGAGGAATGTGGCATCAGGACTGAAGGGAAAATAGTAAATAGCATGCATTATGCAGATGATATTGAAAATGAGGAGGACTTGAACACTTGTTGCAGAAGATCAAGGAATGCATCTCAATGTCAAGAAAACAAAAATTCTTACCATTGGACTGTTAGGCAACATCATGATGGATGGAGAAGAGATTTAAACTGTCAACAACTTCATCTTGCCTGGTTCCACAATTAACACCCTTGGTACCAGCACTCAGGAAACAAGGAGATGCATTGCACTGGGGAATTCTGTAGTTAGAGACCTCCCCAAATTATTGATGTCAGTTTGAGGACTAAGATGTGTCTGATTCAGGCTATGGTCTTTTCTATCACTTCCTATAAATCTAAGAACTAGACAATGAACAGGAATGACAGAAGAATTGATGCCTTTAAGCTATGGTATTGGAGAAGAGCACTGAACATCCCATAGACATCCGAAAGAACAAACAAATATGTCTTGGAGAGGGTGCAGCTAGAGTGCTCTTTGGAGGCAAGGATGAGGAGACTTCACCTCACATACTTCGGCATCTTACTAGCAGGGGCTATTTCTTGGAGTGGGACATGGTACTTGAATTGGTGGAAGGTCAGTGAAGGAGAGGAAGACCTTCAACCAGGTGGATTGACCTGGTGACTGCTGCAGTGGGCTCTAGTGTGTCAGAAACTGAGGATGGCACGCACAGGACAGAGTTCCTATCTGTTGTGTTAATGAGGTCACAATGAGTCATGCTTAACTAGGTAGCATCTAACAACACAGTGGGAAAATAAATTTCTGTTTCATAAAGCAAAAACTAGAGATTCTGTTACAGTAGCATTACTTATAGCAATAGCTGATCATCCCATATAAACCAGAAAGGTGTTTTCCTACCCAAGAGAGAAACAAGTGGGCCTCCTCATCAAGTCAGACAGTAAGTAAGCACGGAGGCTATGTGGTAGTCTGAAAAAGGAGGAGGCCTCAGGATGAGGAAATGCATTTGAGACTTACCCACAGGTCTGGTCACTGCAGGAACTGGCGAGAAAATAGAAAAGCATCATTAAATTTAGGGTGGGTCTTGGAGTAAATTTGACACAGATTTGTTGCCAAGCATGAACTAAGGGGGAAAGAAACACTCACCTGCTTACATTTTCCTTTGTGTACATCATTTTCTAAAGAAAACAACAACATAAAAATGATATTTTAAAGATAGTTATTAAGCAGTAAAGAAAATTCTTATCTTTTTTTAAAATTAATTTTAATAAAAGTTAACAGAGACGTAGGGTTTACAGTCATTCATTGTTGCACTTTTCTCCCTACCCACCTCCTCCCAACTCACTCTTCTTGAAAAACTCTTTCATTGTTATGTAATCTCTCCCCCACAAGTCCATTCCACTGTGCAGCCTTCACTCTGAATTTCTGTAATGGCAAAAATACCCATTCAGGGTCCTCAAACTCACATCACTTCTCAGTAATTTTCAAAGGTCCCTCATTGCAGCTTTTCCCAGTGCAATGCATCTCCTAATTTCCTGACTGCTCATACCAAGGGTGTAATTGTGGATGCAAGCAAGATGAAGCTGTTGACAGCTTCTCTTTCAGACATCTCTATTTGTTCTTTTGAAAGTCCATGAGATACCGGAGGACTATTCTCCTCCAGCACCACAAAAGCAGCAATTTTTCTTCTGTAATTCTTACTCATTTTCCAGTGCTCAGATGCATAGCAAGTGATATAAAACACCACAGTCTGAATCAGGTGGCACACCTTAGTTCTCAAACTAATATCACTCCTCAATAGTTTGGAGAAGTCCTTAACTGTAGACTTTCCAAGTGCAATATATCTGCTGGTATCCTGACTGCTGGTACCATGTGTATAGATTGTGGATCCAAGGAAGATGAAGCCTCATCCCTTCAAATTCCACCACACCTTCCTGACAGCTTGGGGATTACAAAGAAGAAAGGATCTTACTCCAATCTCTGCCATCTCCATTCAGACAGAAGCTGCATCCCTTCAAATTCCACCAGGTCTTGCTGACAACTCCCCAATGAACTATCCTTAAGCTTCTAAGTAGTTTTATTTTAGGGCAATATGATAAAAAGAATTATGTACTTGGAATAATAAAATGTAATTTCAAGTTCTCTTTCCCCCTCCTTAACTACATAAATTTTAAAATTCTTCTGATATTGTGGAAATTGAGGATCTACGCTTCCTCATTTGTAAAACGGGAAGGTTATTATTCTAAATATCCTCACAGTATTTACTCACTGCTTTTCTTACTCTGGGGAGTTTTGGTGGCATAATACAAAGGGAGTTCACTGCTAATCCAAAGAATGACCCTCTCTACTGGTTCAACTCCACCAGCTGCCACACACACACACACACACACACACACACACACACACAAAGATGGGTGATCTCCTCTAGTGTAATCTAGCCAGATCTCAGTTCTGGCTCAATGGTGATGGGTTGAATTGCATTTGCTTCTTACTCTATAAACTTTCCTAAAGTAATCACAACCACGCTTACGGTTTCAAATACTGCCTTGTTATTAGTTTTGGCTAGGTGACATCGAGTCAAGTATAACTCATAGCACCCCTAAACACATTGGATCTGAACCCCGTCCTATCCTGTGCCATCCTTACACTTCCTGACATACTAGAGCCCATTACAGTAATCACCGAAATACTGCCTTAGGGATGATTTCTTTTTTCTTTTTTAAATGTTGTTATTTTTTTTTTATATGTATACCATCAAATAGATCAGAACAGGAGGAGATTGCCCCTCCTTCTCCAATAGAACATCTGGTGTATTCGAACTGTGTGCCTCTAGGATTGCAGTGCAACTTCTTGCCACTAGTCCACCAGAGCTCTGGGGATGATTATTTCTAAAACTCTATCTACAACCCAGCTAACTCTCTCTGGATTAGAACCTAAATATCAACAATTCACTTTTCCCAAAGGCAACTCAAACATATTCAAACATAAACTCAGTCTTCTAGAATATCCCCAAAGCTGCTTCTCTGCCTGATTGTCTTGGTCAGACACCAGATCTAGGAGATTTCCTTGGCCATTACTCTACCCTGCCTCACTCCTCCAACCTGCCCCACTCCTCCAGCCTGCCCCACTCCTCCAGCCTGCCCCACTCCTCCAGCCTGCCCAACTCCCAATCCAAGCAGTCACAAGCCATACAGCTTGTATTTTTATGTAAATAATAGGTCCCTTCTATTTTGATTTGCTAACCTCATCTTGTCCCTGGGGGGGTTTTCCTTAAATGCAGTTACACAAAAATCTAGTTTTGGATTTAACTATCTTATATATTTGTTAAAAGGCACATTGCCATGGGAAAGTCTGCTGTTAGGGACCTCTCCAAAGTGCTGAAGAGCAGTGGTGTCTCTCTGGAGACTAAGGGGCATCTGATACAGGCCATGGTCTTCGCAATCACCTGTTATGCATCAGAGAGTTGGACAATGACCAAGGAGGATAGAAGGAGAATTGATGCCTTTGAGCTATGGTGCTGGCGAAGAGTATTGAGAATACCATGGACTGCTAGGAAAGCAAACAGATTTGTTCTGGAAAGGGTTAAACCGGGTGGCTCCTTGGAGGCAAGGATTCTGAGGCTCCGTCTAACTTACTTTGGACATGTTGTGAGGAGAGACTGGTCCTTAGAGAGGGACATCATGCTTGGGAGGGTGGAGGGACAGCGCAGGAGAGGAAGGCCCTCTATGAGGTGGATTGATTCAGTGACTGGGATAATTGGGATGGGAGTGTCAGAGACAGTGCGATTGGCACAGGACAGAGCGGAGTTTAGGGCTGTTGTACATAGGGTCGCTATGAGTCGCAGGCAACTCGACGGCACATAACAACAACAACAACATATATTTGTTGTGTAACATAGTATAAGGAGCTTAATTACTGTTATGCATAATCCTTTTCTGCATAATTTGGATATTACCACATAACTATGAGGTTGCCATTTATTAGATACAATGGTTTTTAATACATAGTCTTGTACTTGTTGTTGATGTTGTTATCTGCTGTCAAGTCACTTGCAGCTCATACCAACCCTATGTATAACAGTCCTGAACCCTGCTCTGTCCTGTGCCAACCTTATTGTCTCTGAAACACCTACCCCTTTAACCCCCAGTTACTGAGTCAATCCATCTCATCCAGGGTCTTCCTCTCTAGTGCTGTCCCTCCACCCTCCCAAGCATGATGTCCTTCTCCAAGGACTGATCGCTCTTTGCAATATGCTCAAAGTATGTCAGATGAAACTTCAAAATTTTCATTGAATAAAGGGTAGCTATTTATACAGAACCATTAATATACACAATGTTTTGGCTTAAAACATGAAGTGTCATGATTTAAAAATCCTTTCATTTTAAAACATGAAAAAGCTAATACAAAATAAGTACAATTTTGTAAGCCTGAAAATTTATGTTGGATTCACTCATGTTTATTATACCTTCTTTTTCTCCTCAACTTGCCCTCACTTAATGAAAACACCTTCTATAAAGTGAGAGTTAAAACAAAACCAAACTCTACTAGGTAAAAAATATAGGAAGAATAGAAGAATATATGTTATTACTCTAAGGCATGCTGATCTGCTTCAATAGACTCAAATTAAAAGTATTTCAGTTATTCAATCAGTAATTCTTTTCTCAACCACTCATACAGTACATATTTGTCGTCACTCACTCACTCATTGCCATAGACTTCAGCAGGTTTTTAGGAGTCCTAGCAATTCCACTACTGAGAATATATCCTAAAGAAACCAGAACTGCCACCCAAGGAGATATATGCACACCTATGTTTATTGCTGCTTGGTTCACAATAGCAAAGAGGCAAAAAACAACCCAAATGCCCATCAACAAACAAATGGATAGAGAAGCTGTGGTATATCACCAAATGGAATACTACACTGCACTGAAAAACAAGGAACTCATGAATTCTTATACAAAATGGGTGACCCTGGAGGACATTATGCTGAGTGAAATATCTCAGTCACAAAAGGACAAATACTGCATAGTGCCACTGTTGTAAAACGGGATTGACATAGGGGTTGGGGGAAACCTAAGAAAAGAGGGAATAAATAATGTATACTGCATTGAAACTAATCAGGGAGAGAACTATTTAAAAGGAATATAGGATTAGGTACTATTTTCATGACAAGATTCCAGAAAAAGAAATGTATAGTAAAGTGAACTGTGGACTTGAGGTGGGGAGAATTGAATAACAATGAAAGATTTTTTTTTCTTTTCAAAGAAAACAGCAAACTAGGGGGGAGAGGTAGGCAGGGAGGAAAATGTGCAACAATGAGTGAAGGGGCAAAAATTAAATGGGAAGAATATGTTGTAAATAAATAAATATATATAATTTAAAAATTAATTTTTAAAAAAATTTGTAAGTTACAGCAATTAGGAAGAAAGCATGTGGTTGTTACTTAAAAACTTTTACCTTATTCCAGCAAACATCTATTGCATCTCTGCTATGTAATGGGAGTGTAAAAATAAACAATTAATGACAGAACTCTTGTATTCTAGTGGAGAAATTAGTCATATATGTAACTAATGGCAATAAAGTGTAAATATTATATAAAGACTGAATGAAGCTCAAAATATTATGGGGAAAAATCAGTAAAAGAGAAACAATTGTGCAAGTCAACCCCACTAGACTGGAGACTGGTTCCTTACAAAGAAGCTGAGGACAGGAAGGACTGTGATAGATGCGCAGGTGATCCAGGGTGTATCAGGCACCATCTACCACTTGTGTCAGAACACATTTTCTTGTCATGATTACTTATATGCTTCTTGAAAAGAGCCAGGTGAGCAGGTAATTACCCTGTACCTTAACTATAAATAAACTGATGTCTCAAATATATAAACAAATAATTCATTAAATTGTATTTATACTTCACTAAACCTTTGTTCATTAAGCTGTGTTCTTTTCTTTATTATTTTATTATTATTATTATTATTAATTTCCGTAAACATGTACAGAGATTTTGGCATTCCATTCATTTGCACTTTTCTCCCCACCCACGCCTCCCCAACCCCCAGTTCGCTCCTCTCCTTGAAAAGCAAAAGACAAACTCCTTCTTTGGTACACAATCCCCCCGCGTGGACATCCCCACTCACTTTCCAAGAATACTCCGCTCTGCAACCCTCATTCTGCACTCCTATGATAATCATAATGCCCTAAAATATATCCATTTTAAACTATTCTCTCCCTCATCGGCTTCAATGCAGTAAACATAATTTATCCAGTTTTTCTCAGTCCTACCCCCACCCCAATGTCAGCCTCATTCTACAACAGTGGCATCATATAATATTTGTCCTTTTGTGACTGAGATATTTCACTCTAAGCTGTATTCTTTAACTTAATCAAATTCACTCTGAATCGCGAAATACATAAAACAGGCAAAAATGTTGGATTTGCTCAGTACTATTTCAAATATTTGCATTCATGAACAAGACTGAGGCTCTAACCTGGTTTAATAATGTTTATTATAAAATCCCAAGTGAAAAACTAATAAATAGATAAGACAGGTGAAAGATGGATTGAGAAATCATGGTATATTCACACAATGGAATACTATGCAGCACACAGAAGCAATGATTTTGTAAATATTATCGAATTTGGGAGGGACTGGAAAGCATTATGCTGAGTGAACTAACTCAGTCCCACAAGGATAAATATTGTATAAAACTATTATTGTAGAATGAGTATAAGGATCCCAGAGGAGTGTAAGAGGTTGGAAGCAGAGGGGTGAGGATGTGCAGAAGAAGGGGAGGATTAATCATGGGGTTGAGTCGGGGGGTGTGAGGGAAATTGAAAGAATTTGTTCTTGAAAACAATGTATTCAAATTTTATAAATAAACTAGTAGGGGGAAAAAAGATGGATGAAAGAAAAGGCAATATACAACAAAGATTTCAATAGACATTTTAAGTAATTAACCAGTTTTAACTAATCTTATAAAGCAAAATGGTTGAATGAAAATACAATATGATTTGTAAACTTTCACTGAAATAAAAGGAACTTTTTAAGAAAGTAGGCTAGATTAGGAGAGGGGGAAAGCCAGAACTAAAAAAGAGTAGGTCACATACTATAGCAACTTAATGGAATAGTATTAATTCCAAGAAAGTAATCCAGAGATTTGCCTTCGTCTTTCTTCTTTCAGGTCTTTACTATAGATTAGCATTTCTACAACCGTCTTATCACTGCACTTACCTTCATAATCAAGCTTTGGTGTTCCACAGACTGACTAAATTGAGCACCCATTTCAAATATACTTGTGATTCCATTCTCACACAAATTCATCCAGTGACGATATTCCTCTCGCCCAGGAAGTCGATCCCAAAAAGTCTTAAAGGCTTCCCAGACAGCTTCTTGACACACTAGGGGTAAAAAAGGACAGGGGTATATGAAAGTTCTTCTCTGGAATCTCAGTGATCAGAAACCAATTTGTTCAGACTGCCCCAAGACACTACTGCCCAAATTGTCCCTTCTTAGGAGATATGGAAATGATTCTCACTCCAAGTCCTTCCCTACGTGTGGTTTAAACTTTTTAGATCAGAAGAGAACTTGTATTCCTCATTCCCTTTTTAGGGGATTGAATTAGAAGGGCTTTTGCCCACCTCTTCAAAAGAACTCATTCATATTTTTCCAAGTGAAGTGGATGTGTGTATTTTGTATATAAACCAGTACATTTCTTTAATAGGCAATGCTATTTTAACATTACTAGATATTTACAGATGTCTTAAAGCCGCTTAACTTCTCCAAATAGCAGCTTGCCTGCCTTTCAAGATGACTCAGGAAGGAGATAAATTATATGCCCTGGATGCCCTGTAAATAGCCTAGACCTTAAAAATACAATGACATAATTGTACTTATAAACTCCTTTAAAAATTTTTAATCACAAATCCCTAAGTAAAAAAGAAACTTTTAAAATATTCTCAGAAAAGATAATATAAGGGATTGAATAAATACTCTAATTATACTAATTAGTTAATTATACTGATCAATGGCAATTAATGTTATAAACCAAAGTGTCTAAGAATGATTGCATGGGGGGGAAAAAAATCAATGATTTGTGAACCTTCACCAAAATAAAACTAAAAGAAAAAAATTTTTTAACTCCTCAAAGCTCATACTAAAAAAAAAATATTCACTCTTGTAGGGTCAGAACCAACTCACAGCTGAACTGGAGGGTGTTTTCAGAGGCTGTCAATCACAAGTGAGGAGCTTGTTCATTCTCCCTTGCAGCCAATGATAGATTCAAACTGGCCACCTTTGCATTAGTTGTACAACACCATACAACTACAAGGGCTTCCATTCAGAGCTAACAAAAACTTAAAATTACTTCATAAAGTCAAGAAGGACAATGTTCAACTAAAATTATCCTCCCCAAGCCACTATATTTCACTTTGGAAAAGAGACGATAAATATGAGTTCTTTTTTTTTAATATCTAAAAAGATTACATTCAGGGGTCAAGTACTGCTATATTAAAAAAAAACTGATTTTTAAAAAACCTTAATTGATCTGACTGCTAAATTATTCCACAGCACCAAATCTGAGAGGGAGATAAAGAGGTCGTCTGCTATTTCATACAGCACTGGGCAAATTGTTCTTCTAGAAAAAGGTTGGTCTGTCTTGGAGAGGGTGAAACCAAGTTTCTCCTTAGAGGCCAGGATTTTGAAGCTCCATCTCACATACTTTGGCCACATGGCCAGGAGGTACCAGTCCTTGGAGAAGGATATCATGCTTGGAAGGATAGAGGGACAGCACAGGAGAGGAAGACTCCAGATGAGACTGATGGAATTTAGGTTGTTTATTTTTCATTTCAATGAACATCTACAGAGATTTTGGAATTCCATTCATTCATTGTTGCACCCTTCTCCCCACACAAACTCCTCCCCCCCTTTGCTCCTCTCCTTGAAAAGCAAAAGAAAAACTCCCTCATTGGTACACAATCCCCCCTCTCCCCCCCCGTACCTCCCCAAACCCCAGAGGTTTTTGAAAGGCAGTTGAGACTGCCCATCCTTTTCCTGCAAAGTGGCTGATGGCCTCGAGCTGCGTGCCCTTGGGATTACAGCACTGCCACTAGGCCACCAGAGCTCCCTTAGTGTAAAACAATTTGTACTTCTAACCCAAAAGTTGTGCATTTCTAGCAATTCATGTCTACCAGTGGCTCTGAGAGAGAAAGACAGGTCATCTCCATGCAATTTACAACCTTGCAAACCCAATGGTAGGTTGATATGAATTGGAATCCACTCAATGGCAATACATTTGAGGATTTTTTAAATCTTCTTTATTTGCTAAAGTATTTTGTAAACTACAAGGTAATACATGACTTTCAGATGTTGTTGTCCTATTGAGCTCTGTTTGTCACAGTTGTTAGGTGCTATTGAGTGGATTATAACTCATATCGATCTTATGAACAGCCGATCTGAACACTGTCCTATCCTGTGCCATCTTCACTAGATACACTAGAGCTCATGGTGGCAATCACCACATAAATCCACCTCATTGAGGGTCTTCCTCTCCCTCATTGACACTCTCCAAGGAACAGCCCCTCCTAACAACATGCCCAAAGTATGTGAGGTAAAGTCTCATCATCCTTGCTCTAGCTGCACCCTTTCCAACACATATTTATTTGTTCTTTTGGCCATCCATGAGATGTTCAGTGCTCTTCTCCAATGCCACAGCTCAAAGGCATCAATTCTTCTTCTGTCATCCGTACTCATTGTCCAGCTCTCAGATGCATGGCAAGTGATCAGAAAACTATGATCTGAATCATGGGTTACTGTGATACTGAAAATTTGTAGGTTATGCTGAGCTCTGGTAGTCTCATTATTTTATGAAAGAAAATAATTTGGGGGAGGGGAAACTCTTAAGTTTTAATATTGTTATTATTATCAAATCAAGTATGACTAATAATGACTCTATGAAGAACAGATCTGAACTCTGTCCTATCCTCATCATCTCTGAAACATTTGAGCCATTACTGCAGTCACTGCATCAATCCATATTGTTGAAGGTCTTCCTGTCTTTCACTGACCCTTCTACCTTTCAAAGGAATAGCCATTTCGAACAACATGTCTAAAGTATGTGAGACAAAGCTTCATCATCCTTCCCTTTAAAGAGCCATCCAGCTGCACGATTTCCAAGATATATTTACTCGTTCTTTTGGCAGTCCATGCAATATTCAGTACTCTTCTCATACACCAAAGTTCAAACGCATCAATTCTTTTATTATTCTTATTCATTGTTCAGCTCTCAGATGCATAACAAGTGATTCAAAAGACTATGGCCACCAAATACAATCAGAAATGCACAATCTAAAGAGGATAACATTGATGCATGGCACCTTCTAAAGATTAAATCCATATGTGCATCAAAAACTTTTTACAACAGAGTGAAAAGAAAACCTACAGACTGGGAACAAACATTTGGTAATACCATCTCAGACAGAAGTCTTATAACAAAAGTTTACAGAATATTCTTGGGCCTCCACGAGAAAAAGACTGATAACCCAATTACAAAATGGGCAAAAGACATGGAAAGAATGTTCACAGAGGACAATACTCGAATGACAATCAGACACATGAAGAAATGTTCCAAATCACTGGCAATAAGAGAGATGCAAATCAAAACCACAATGAGGTACCATCTCACTCCAGTAAGAGTGGCAAAGTTTAACAGGGCAGCAAGTAATAGATGTTGGAAGGGATGTGACGAGAAAGGAACTCTTGCAAATTGTTGGTGGCATTGTAAAATGGAGCAACCTCTCTGGAAGGCAGTTTGGCACTTCCTCAAAAAGCTGACCATAGAAATTCTATATGACCCAGCTATTCTACAACTTGGAATATACCCTGAGAATATGAGAACTGAGGCACAAACTGAGATTTGTACACCAATGTTCATAGCAGCATTATTCACCATCTCAAGAACATGGAAACAGCCCAAATGTCCAACAACAAATGAATAGATTGAGAAATTATGACACATTTACACAATGGAATACTATGCAGCACACAGGAGCAATAACTTTGTAAATTATTGTCTAACTTGGGAGAGACTGGAGAGTATTATGCTGAGTGAACTAACTCAGTCCCATAAGAATAAATATATAAAACCATTATTGTAGAATGAGTATAAGGATCCAGGAGGGGTGGGAGAGGTTGGAAGCAGAGGGATGTGGATGTGCAAGGGGAAGGGGAGATTAATCATTGGGTTGTGGATGAGGGAAATTGAAAATATTTGTTCAAATTTGTATTCAAGATTTGTAAATAAATAAGTGGTGGGGTCAGGGGGGAAGACCATGGCCTGAATCAGGTTCACCTGATTCAGTCTTCAATTGACATATTTTTCCTTAATAATTTGGAGAGGGCCCTAGAATGTTCTTGCCAAGTGATATACTTTCTTGATCTCCTGATTGCTGGTATCAGCAATAGACCCAAGTAAGAAGTCACTGACAGTTTCAATCTTTTATCCATCTATCATGATGTTGCTTATTATCCACTGGTGTAGATTTTTGTCTGGTTAATGTTGAGATGCAACCTATATTGAAGGCAATTGTCTTTATTCTTCTGTAGCAAGCACTTCAAGTCCACCTCATTTTCAGCAAGCAAGGTTGTGTCATCTGCATAAAGTAGATTGCTGATGAGTCTTCTCCAATCCTGGTGCCATATTCTTCCTCAGACAGTACAGGTTCTTGAATTATTTGCCCAATGTACAGATTGAATAGGCATGGAGAAAGGATACATCATGATGCACATCTTTCTTGATTTTAAACCATGCCAAGTCAGAAGAGACTCTGAAAATTAACAGATGCCGATCTTGGATGTTAGAAAGGGATGCCAGAAGAAATGGAATATTTCACTAGAGTGCTGAGAAGCCAAGAAAAAAGGGAAGAAATGCTGAAGTAAAAGTATTGAACAGAAGATTTCAAAGGGCAGCTCAGGAAGACAAAGCAAAGCATTATAACAGAATTTACAAAAAGCTGGAGTTATAGAATCAAAAGAGACTAACTAGCTCAGTATTAATCAAGCTGAAAGAACTGAAAAAGAAATTCAAGTCTCAAGTTGCAAAACTGAGAGATGTTATGAGCAAAATCCTGAAGGATCCAGGAAGCATCAAAAGAAGATGGAAGGATTACACAGAGTCACTCTACCAAAAAAACTGGTTGATACTGAAAAATCTCAGGTAGTAACATATGACCAAGAGCAAGAAATGAAGGAAGAAGTTCAAGCTACACTGAAGACATTGGCAAAAAATAAGGCTTCAAGAAACAATGAAATACCAAGTGACATGTTTCAAATAACAGATGCAGCCCTGGACATGCTTATCAGTCTATGCCAGGAAATTTGGAGAACAGCTGCTTGGTCAACTGAC